AAGTGGAGTTTCAGGTGGGAGATTTGGTTCTGATAAAATTGCAACCTTACAGACAACACTCCGTGCAACTACGGAAATTTCAGAAACTAGCTACGCATTATTTTGGCCCTTTTCCCATTGTTGAGCATATTGGGTCTGTTGCTTACAAAGTCCAGCTTCCTGATTATGCAAGGATTCATCCGGTGTTCCATGTCTCTATGTTGAAAAAATTTCACGGCGATGATACGGCCACTCGCTTGCCATTACCCCTGTTAACAGTGCCAGAAGGGCCAATTAGTCAACCAGTGGGAATTAGCTGGGTACAGCAGAATGGGCAGTGGATGCGACAATTTCAGGTCCAATGGGACGGAACGTCTGAACACACTTGGGAATTTGAGCAAGACTTGCAACAGCTGTGTCCAACCTTGAACCTTGAGGACAAGGTTCATTTCAATGGAGGGGGTGATGTAACGAACCCAGGCCCAAAGTTGCAAGAGAAGCTGGCCCAAAATGAACCAGTCCGGAGAAGCTTGAGGATTAAGAAGAAAAGCTGGAAGCTTCGTGAATTGGAGAATGACGCATGACTATAATAGGACGAGGGAGTGTAAGGATTGGTGTGGAATATTTTATTGAAGACTCTCTCTCTCTCCCTGGAGGAATCTTTCCTTATTTCCTTTCTGCAAACTCTGACATTTCTTTTCGTATTTCCTGAAAGCTTGTACTATTTCCTCATTGATTTTGTACTATCGGATCATATGGCCGTTGAGGAATATCTATAAAATCAATACAGCTTTCTCATATATATTTGTCATTATCCATCGTTTCTTTAGTCATTGCATTGTCATAGTTATGACACCGAATGTTAATGTATAGTTCTGCCTATTTCCAATTAATTATGCTACTCTATTACCTGGACGTCTTAAATCCTAATTATCTTCAGTAAATCACTGAAAAACTTGGTACAAGCATGTTGCGTTAAGAAAAATTAGAAGGAACTAAAGCTGTGGTGTGATAGATTATTATAGTGAATCATGCAAATAGCATGATTAATTTAATTGACTAATTGATGGCTAAATAAATTTGGGTAGATTTTTTATTTTTTATTTTAATGAATCTAACTTTTAGTTCACAATATAATAAATGTATCTATATTAAATGTTAACATAATAAAATGAGAATTTTCGGCAACCTACAAGTCATGTTCTACTTAAGATGTAATGTAAAACCATTCCATATTTTTTTATTTTGTTTATTTTGAGAAACATTTGATGTTATGCATGCTCTCTAGATATTATCATAATTTGTGTAGAAATAATTTTAAGAATTAGTAATTATTAATCAAGTATTTATGGCCAACAATTATTAGTATTTATTAATTAGTTATTACAAATAATAATAAGTAGCTAATAATAAATTAAGTACTATAAAGAATATCACTAAATTCGTTTATTAGTTTCACATATTTTGATTGTATTGTTCTGGAATAAGCCCAATAGAGAATGACCTTTTTTTAAGGTAATGATGATTCATTTCAATTGCGATGTGTGGAAAATGAATTAAAAATATATATATCTACTCAAAATTTTTTGACTTATATATGTATATATTTTTTTGAACATTATCACAAATGTGTGGTATTTATTTCAGTGCTATCATGCATGGTTTGTGATGTACTGTCATATATGGTATTCATTTAAGCAAAATCTAATTATCTTTTAAGTAAGATTTTTTTTTATTGCATATGTAGTTACGATAATATAATCTAATGATTTTCCCCCTTATTCATCAGTCCTTTGCCTTCAAATCACGATTTTATTGGTTATGATACAATGTAATGACATCCATCACATGGGTATCAAATCACTTTAACAATATTATTGTTATGCATGGTAGTGAAAATGAGTGTTTGAAGTTTGCAACCAATATTGTTAACAAGGAGATATTTAGAAGTTTGCATGTATTATGTTAGGAAAAGCATGTAAAGAGACAATGTTATCATGTTGAAAGAAATTCAAGAGATTTGTTTTTATTTTAAGATCATATTTTTAACTCGAACGGCATAAGTTCTTTTTTTAATTAAAATAAAAATATAATAGCTTCATATATTCTTACATAAATTAATGCACCCCTTTACTCGATTCCCCATCCGACCTGGTCCTTGGGCATTTAGGAGTTCGTTTTTCCAAAACAATAAATACATTCAAAATCTTCTTACCACTATAACTGTCTTGAGTAAAAAAAAAAAAAAAAAAACTTGTGTATAACGAGGAAAAAAAATTTTCTCATCAAGTTTAACCTTTAACACTCACCGAACGTTTTTTGCTTAAAAAAACACTGAACTTAGTGGCCACCCCACCAAAAACAACTCGGGTAAAGCTCACCGCGGAGCTTCATGCAAGCAAAAACCATGCGGACCACATCCATTTGGTAACTAAAACACAAAGGAATGTGATGTCAGAAAACAAGTCATGCTAATAGATTTCTCCTTAATTATACTTACCCCATACCATGCAGCCTCCCTTACCATCAGGTCATGGTTACTTTTTATCCATAAATAGCAAGGACCATTTTTTCTTCTTATTATTCATCCTACATTATGTGTGCTATAATATTTTTATAACTTTGAAATACTAAAAGTATCAGGTACAATTAATTTTTTAGTTTCAATAATTTTATAAGTTTGCTTCTTATTGGTAATTGATTTATTTGTCTTGCCTGTTTCAGCTTTTTGATTTTTAAATAAAAACTGGAAGCTAAGAACGTTAAAGAAAGAACAGGGGAAACTAAAAACTACAAAAAAAAAAAAAAAGAATCCTAAGGGGAAAGCATAACCAACACCCCTCATCAACCTCTGCCTAAAGGATAAATAGGTGGAGAATGATCAAGGATATAAAATATGTTATTACTAGTATGAGTAGGTTTCACTAAATGATCAGCACAAGAATTGTTTCAGCTTTTTTTAGGATCACTTTTCCTACGTGCTAATACTACTTTCTTAATTTTAAAATTAGTTTGAGTACATCAATCATGATGTTGAATCAACATTTTACCAGTTTATATTATTTGAAAAGAAATATTAAAGGAGAACCTATACTTAGTAAAGAGTTAAAGTTGAATAAATCTTCTATATGAGTTAGAAGCATGACAGGATGGAAAAAATTTGTGCAGAATGGCAAAAAATATTGTAAAAAATTAACTACTATTTGAAGATGTAGCAATTTGCAAATAATATGATATCCAAATGTTAGGTGGGAGTATGGTGTTAAAAGATAAGGTACACACTATGATTGTTACCGTGTATTGAAGGCTAAAACGTTATAACTCCCATCTAATTAATACTAAGAAGTTATTTTAAATTAATTAGTTTGCACAAGCTACAAATGTAATGAAACAAACATAATCATTTAAATATAATGTAGTAGTTAATAATATATTATAGTGAATTCATGAAATGTTTTGGATTATAAGAATATAGTTATTTGCAGTGGAATGAGAGTTTCTTTAACAAATTAAAATAAAAAAATTCTAAAATATGAGCCCCGCGTATCGCGTGGGAAGTACATGCTAGTTTCCATAAAAACACAAACAAGTCTACGTAATGTTATATCTTAAAAGTAATCACTGGCCTTGTCAATTAAAGTGGTATCAATTTGAAAAGATTAGTCATATATGCGGCATTTCTTGTAACAGTTTTTTTTTTTTTTCCATTTAATCAGCGAAATTTCTAAAAGAATTATCTCTACTCAAAACTCATCTAATAGTTTAGATATATAACTGTTAACCTCTTGAATTTCATGCTATTTCAGCTTTTTTTTCCCTTTAAGTTTTATGCACTCTTAAATATATTTATGCATATTTTGGCTTTTATCCTTGTTAATTAGCTTTGAGCTTATAAAGTTTGTTACTTTTGCAAGGTATATTTTGGTCCAAGATTAATTATGTCAAGCCACTAGGGAAGGCTTCTGAAACATTTAAAGATCAAAGTTGCTTTAGAATCACATTAAGGTGATTAAAAAAAACAAATAGAGGCTCAATCATTGGCGAAACTCCTTATTAAAGCTAAAAGAACAAAATTTTCTAAAGGTTAAATGAGCTGCGGCTCATTCTGACCCGGCTATGGCCTAACTCAAACAAAAGCAAACCTGGCTGCGGTACAGTTGTTGACAGCAAAATGCATAGCAGTGCTCAATCAAAAAATTCTAAGTTTTAAGGCCTCAAACTTGACCTTGGCTGCCGTTCTTCACTTTTGGGTGGTTCTTAGAAGTATCTTTCTTGTGCTGGGGCTTGCTTTTTAGAGAAGACTGAGCGAGGAGTTGATGCTTTCAAGAGATTTGGACTCTTTTCTTGGTTTTTCCTAAACCTGCTAATATGGACCTGCCAATTTAATAATAAATTTTTAAGATTTGACTAATTGATTTTCATAAAATAAAATATACTCTAATTAAGTTTAATTAGGTGCAATTCATCACTAAAATATCTAAGCTAATATGATAAAAATATATAAATTTATGACTTATAACTACAAAAGATTGTAAAATCTAATATAATATTGATTTGTCTCTCAATAATGCACCATACTTGAGTATTACGATCTTCCCCTCGGAGAATGACCACGCACAATCCCCACCGCCTAGTTTGAAAAAGAATTCTGTAGGGGGGCAAAAAAAAACAAGAGGAAGCTCCGACCGTTCTAAACGCATCAATTTAAAGTCACAATCAGCAATTCTCTGATAAAAACTCATCACTTACGTCAAGTTTATTCGTTCACTATTTCAAGAATTATAAGAAAGCTTGGATTATTAGAGTTTCATTAAATGCACGCTGGCAAACAATGACCATGAGTAATTACCCAATGCAATTGACAAGAGACAGTGAAACATCTCAATTAAAAGAAGCCAATTTCACAGTCACGGCCTCCTTTCCCATATTAAAGTTCATGCCAATGTAATTGAAAAGAAACATCAAATCGTAATTATTCAAATAATATAAGAACAAAGTGGTACATCAATTACAGATCCGTCTCATGGCCACGGCTTCCCTTTCCTGTCAAAGATACTCCCATACGTGGAAACAAAAGTGTGAAGAAGAGGAGGGAATTGTGACAGCACAAAGAGGAAGACCGGAACACTTGCAAGTATGATAATGGGAAGGAGACCCCATGAGTAGTTTGTATGCTTTAACATTAGACGAATGGTAGAAAGAAATGCTATCATCATGCCTACTATGGAGATGAAAAGAAAAGAAAGACCCGAAATCAATTTTGTTGGTAAGGATCTAAGGAACTTTTCGTCTGAGTATTGAGAGGTAATGATGGCTAGAAACATTAAAACTGAAGATGAAGAAGAGAGAAGAGATAATATGGTTGAGAATATGAAAACCGTGAAAAATGGTTGTTTGATAAATAGGGGGTCTCTAGTAGTTTGATCACTTCCACCTGGAACTGTAAAAGGTACTGCGAACATAATGGTCACAATTAGGGCACCAACAACTGAGCATGAAGATGATGAGGCCTTTATCCATTTCTTTCCTTGCTTGATTAACTCTTTGTGACTTTCTCTAAATAGTTCTTCAGCTGTCATACCATCCTTGTTTCGAAGTCCCCTAAAGCTTGGAGGTGTTAAACTCTCAACCTCCCGCATTTGTTTCAAAAAGTAGTTATTATCAAAATTATTAGACTACTACTATATCCAGTCGTGAGAAAACGGTCTGGAAAGAAAGTGGAACTTTAGTTCAAAGCCAGGCCTCATGAGATTTACTTTCTTTGTGATGCCTTTCAATGATTCTAGAACACTCATTGTGCCTCCAAAGAAAGTGAAAATCATAGGGGAACATTCTCACATACTTGCTTGCAAACAATATTTAATTATTTATGCAACACTTAGAATAGATTCAATCTTTTAAGAGATTACGACTCAAGAAATAGTACGTCTATCTCTAACCATAAACCATTGTAATTCTCTTTGCATTTGCAGTGTAGATGCATAGATGCGATTAAGAACGTGATCAGGAGCCTTCATAGCTGCCCTATGCATCAAGTCATTTCCACCATCACCTATAAATGTTACCAGGACATGCTTGAAGCGAAGCCCATGGATAAGGTTGAAAACCTTAGCTTGTCGATAATCAAGAGCTTCATTGAAACACGAACCAAATGTTGGATTGGTGCAGATCTCTGGGATTACTTTTGATACTTGAAACACAAACTCGACATTCCCTTCTTTAGCAGCAAGACTTAAAAGGCTCCTCTATAAATCCCTTTAGGTATGCTTTCCTTGCATTCTTACAAACCAGGCGAAGAAGCTCATCTGCTTGTGCATGCAACATTTTTAGCTTGTATCTTCTTAATTCCTACATTCACACGTAGGCACATGGATCTTTTAGTTAGTTTAATTTGATGTATGAGAATTAAGAGTAAGTGTGAACAAGTACATAATTCTTTGAAGAAATATATGAAAGTTAGCATATCCACAGCTACAAAATCATCAGCGGAAGTGATGAGCCTTAGTAGCAATCCATGCCCTGTTAATTAACACCCAATCCTTTATCCCTTTTCTGAACTAATGTTAAAATAAAAATCTTTTTATTGAAGAGATACAACATACTATTAATCAAAGAGAAGAGTTCCAATTATTGCTGAGTTCAATTCCCTATCATGGTTTTGATCAATCATAAATGCGAAATTGCCAAAATGCAATGTTTCGACCTATTAGACTGGTGGTCAAACTTATTCATCATAATTAAATAAAATTTTAATGAAAATAATTGTACGCACGCATTTGTGTGCGTATATGTGTGTGTAAGGAATAAATCAATAGCGAATTTAAGTGCCAACATAATAACAACGCTATAAAGTTGTCATTGAAATAACACCATTTATTTACAAATGGTCTAAAAATATATTGATTTCTTTGAGAAGGTCAATTTATATATATATATATATATATCAATATTTTTAGCCTTTTTTACGACGTCCGAAACCCGTTTGATTTTTCTAAAAGCCCTTTTAGTTTCTAGTCTAATCTGTTCCGGGTTCCGAATCGTAACATACCTGGCTCATCAGTAAGTTTTGGTTCATCTCCTTGACTTCTATCTTCTTGGATGTTCACACGAACATGATTGATAGCTATGGTTGGAGGCACATTTATATCTTACATGGGCAAAGAAGGAACAAAAGATCATGTTGTTAAAAAGATACATAAACAATAATGATGATAATAAGTAAGATAAAACAACATATTAAAAAATACGCTCTTTATGCTAATTCAAAGTACTTTGGATCATGTTTTCCTAATTCACTTAATTTTATCTTTATATAAGGTGATCTTTAGTCTATTCAATTGTAAGAATCTCTTGATTATAATTTTTTTAAATTATATTCCATCTATAGGTCAGAGAGAGAGACACGCATTTACGTTTTATATTAATATATATGTAGTTTATATCAACTATCGTAATGCTGCATACTACAATCTAAATAATGGAGAGAAAATAACATAAAACAAAATCTAAATATGATAATGGAAAAGAAAGGAATGCGTTTGAAAGCCAAGTATACTGATACTGACAATTATAGATCCATCGTTTCCAGAAGATAAGTTCATCTGGGCTAAGAATAATAGTGTTCAAGGTTGCGATGTCATGAATTGGCGTCCAAGCTCCACCATTGAAGGGTATTAAAAGCAATTCTTCGCATTGTTGAAGCAAATGCAATGCGATATCTGCAAGTATGTGCGTGTGTATGTATAGTCATGCCATGAATTGTCAACAACATATAAAATAAAAGAACTACTCATCCGGTTCTTAATGTATGACCAATTTAATTAATTTGATTATATTTGAGAAGTTAGTTAAATTAGTTAATTATAATAAATATGACATACTTTTCCTAAAATACCCTAGTCTTTGACTTCAATTATTATGGTAAGAATTGTTGAGGAAATATTAAAAGGGGATAGTTTGGGAGGAAAATGATAAATATGAAAAGTAAGTCTTACATTTAGTTATTAAAATCAACTCTTCAATTAGGCCCTGCATTAAAAGCCAGAGGAGTACTATTTAACGTACCAAAACATTGTGCATGAAAACAAACACGAAGAAGCTTAGAACCCCAACGGCCTTTGAGGTATTCAACTGGAGTGACAGAATATAGATAACGTCCCAATTCTTGGTGACCATTGTCAAAGGCCACTATAACAGGAAGATCATCAAATTTGCTTGAAATGCCAAGTATCTCTCTATTCTTGCTTACGAGGCATTTTGCAACTTGAGTGATTCCACTAAACCAACTAGCGATTACGAGTGCTGTATCGCCATTAGAATCACGAGTTAGAACGAATTGTGGAGGCAGTAATTTGAGCAACTCTTCTACTATGGTCACATGCCCAAGCATTGCAGCCATATGAAGTGTTGTTCTGGCTTGATCACCAATTACTGTGGTCAAAGCATTAGGGTTTTGATTCATAATTGCTTTTGCATCACTCCAGTTGTTACTACTCAAAGCATGGAACAAATCATACTTCCACTTAAATTCTCCTTCCTGATCATCTGTAATTATCCACACCATTTTAATAACAAGCATCACATCGAGGCGTATGTTTGATTAATTAAATGGTGACATGGAAAAAATAGGACACCTGATCATATGCAATTCAACAACCTGACATAATGACTATGAGCAACTTGACTTGAATTTTGTCCTAGACATAATGCTATCTATATATATATTAATTGATCCAAATGAGACAAAAATAAGGAGAGAATTTGTACTATGATTCTCCTGATTCCTCGTGTGGCGTTGGTGAGGATTGTTCAATGTCACCTGATAGTTCTCTAAATGATAATTGAGGTGAAGGACGGTGCAGCCCCACAAGAGGATCCAAGTCCATCATCAGCGAGTTTTGTTCAAAGTTACCTCGCAATGCTGACATATTGGGAGTACAAGAGATCTGTATGAAGCACTGATTTTTATGGTATATATTACTATTTTGCAATGCATTATCATATTAATTCGTAAAATTGAGTCTTTGTGCGTAAGAAGAGCATAAACAATAATACGTGTGCCAAAATAAATACTAAGAATGAAATGCACACTTACCAGTAGTCAATCTTGAACCTTAAATGGATCCAACGAGCAAGCTATGATACTGGAAATAGATCAGAGAAGCAACAACGAATATATAGTATTCCATATATGGAACATATATATGCTTTCTTGCGAACGCTTCCAACGAATCAACTCAAAAGATATTGGAAAATTATTATAATGGGTACAAGAAAGGAATGTAATTGACAAAACGTTCCATAATACGTGAACAAGAAGTTCTAATGCCCAAAAATGACAACAAAATCCATGTCGTATACCTGTTGTTGTGACTTTTTTATTAATAATATTTTTTATTGGGACCTCACAATGATTTCCCCCAAAAATATTTAATTTGCACTCTAAAAATCAGTACGATCCTTGCCAACCTCCTTGTGTTCAAAAGAATCGCTCACTTTGCAAGTTAAACTCGGTATCAGTTTGATTCTTTATCTTACTTTGGATCACAAGGGGGCAATCTTAATAACATGGAAGTGAAGATAAACTAAACCCGCAGCCCCCACAAGCAAGGTTTCAAATTAAATTGTCTAGAAAATCATCGTCCAAAAGAAAGGTTTCGAATTAAATTTTCTGCAGCATAACATTGTTACGCCATCACATCGAAATTTATAAACCTGTTGTATTTTTTTAAAATAAAAAATATATCATGAAATAGGGGATTCTAATTAAAGGTCTAGTGTTTGAGCTTAAAAAGGAAAAAAAAAAGAAAAAGGAAAAAGAATTCATGAAATGCACTCACTGCTCGTTCTTTAAATTTGCTTTGGCCCCCACAAAAGCTATACCAAGATTTCTTTTTTGCCAACTTGCCAAGAATTTACTCCATCTCACCAGCAATGCATGTTTTGCATCCAACATATGCTTTCTTTTCCATTATTGAATAATCAATTCCTTTCTTTTTCAGTAATTTATATTTTAATGCCCATGGGTTTTGTTATATATCTTGTGCTGCTACTGCTTCAAAATTTTGTTAAAAGGCTTTATAATCTGTCTGATTTTAAATTTAGGAGTTGAATAATTATCGGAGTTTTGCTCTTCATTCTCTGTCTTTTCAAATACGTACGATTTTTTTTCAGAACAATCATTCAAACTAACTTTTTTTCTCAAAACTTATTTTATAAAACTATTCTAAAATCATAAAGCTAAAAACAAAATCAAATAAGGCCATAAAATTTCATAAGCAACGTATCCATATGATTTATGATTTACGTTGTATAATCAAAAGCCAAAAAAAATGGATGGTTAGAAATTTGAATTGCTCGTATTTAATATGAAATGGTTTCATCAACTCACACGCGCCGACGCGAATCCAAAGAACTCCGAGTCCTCCTGTGAAATTCTAGGAACTTTATGCTTTGTCCCCTCTAAGAGCAAAAACTTATGCTTTGCCACTAGAATTCTTTGCGAAGATGCTTATTGCCGAAAAATTTTAATTAAAAAAAAAAACGAAGAACAGTGCAAATTAAGCTTTCATGCGTGTAACTATAGGATACTTTGTAAAAACAAATATAAGAAAAATGGAAAATAGGCAATCAACTTTTG